ACTTGTTTCTCTCACTTAGCTTTGGAAATTTCTAACGATGTGATTATTGACAATAATACAAAGGCCAAAATAATTAAAATGTAAATGTAAAAAATATATTTAAGTGGGAGCCTGAGCCTCATCTCATCCACAGGTCACACTGTAGCAGCTGAGGTGACCTCTGTCACAGGCAGTCTGTTCACGCTCACACTTCTCCAGGCTAAGTGCCCAGGACGGGAAAATATTTCCACGAGTCCTAACAAGTGACAGGAAATATAATACGGGGCAAGATTCCATTATTAATTTTTCTCTATAATTCCACTGTTCAGAAATTTCTGTGCTATTACTCTTGGAGTGCTTGGGGGAAACTTCTCTGTCGTATCCGCAGCTGTACGCACAGCACTGTCAGCTGTGCTGAGGGACACGTTTTCTACCACGCACTTCATAAGTCACAATCGATCACCGACACGTCTTCACTCTCAGTTGCGGTACTACCATCACTGCTATAATTTAATAGAATTACGAACATAAAATGCAGTCTGACCGCCTGGAAAACTGCCAATCAATCCCCACGATGGCCGAGTGGATGCTTTTTGCCCTTCTCCTAAGGGCCACGGAGGAGGGCTCACGTCACCGACGGGGATCTACTCCCCACAGACATGTTGACGAGACACCACAATTAGTCCTGCTTCAATAAACACACACGATACGGTGAGTGTAAGGCTACAGCATGCTGCATACATTAGAGCGCGCTTCTTACTTCGGTAAATCCAAAAGCAATGCTGTTAAGGAAGGGATGTTATTCTGCTTTTAAATAATCTGCTTATGATTTGTCATAAGTTTTAGCTGCTGCTGGCACACGAAGGCCCACGTGGCAACACGTACGCCCTGAAATAATATTAATGTGGAACTTACGGGTGTGAGACGATGTGGCCAGAGGAGAAAAAGCAAATTTACAAGTGTCAGCAGTCGTCACGCATCACAGCCAATCAGTCCCTCGGGACCAACGGGGCCAGCAGTCGAGGAGGCTGTGTAGCCCTGGGCTCGCTCCCCTGCCCAAGGCCTGGCCTCCTGAGCTGACACGGGGCCAGTGCCGGTGGGGACACTGGCTGGCTCAGCTTCCTGCACTGGCGGGACACACGGCTCGCGAGGGCTGGGTTTTCACTTGCCCGGGAACTCCCGGGAGCACTGCACGTGGCCAAGCTGGAGTTTGCTTTGCTGAGGCTGCAGACACAAAGCGACAGGCGAGCAAGCCTTCCTGCTCTCCTGGAGAAAATGAAAGATCGATCACTTATCATAAGAAACAGCGACCAGGGCCTAAGTAGGCGCCACACGCTGAATGTGCAATCTCCGACTCACTCGGACCAGCACTCCCTGCACGTGAAGAACCAGACGTCCTCAGCACCGCGGGTCCTCGGCGCCCGGCTCCCCGCGACTCCGCCATCAGTACAGTTCACGGTGCGCACGCACAGGCCGGGCAGAAGAGCCTCTCCGTCTTCGGGGAAGTGGAGGTGGAGAATGGCAGCAGCACCAGCGACAACCCCTCGCACGCTCCCTCTACAGACCGAGAGACCCAGCGCCACAGACAGGCAGGCGCGGCCAAGGGGGCGCTGGCACAGAACTGACGGCCCTGGTTACGCCTCCCGCGCGGCAGGGCTGCTTCTGAGCTGCATTCGCTGCGACAGGTCAGAGTGGGGGGGCGAACAGACAGCACCAGCCAGCTCCCTGAATGCAGCTCCAGGGTGCAGTGGTCTGAGCACCTTATTTAATCAAAAATGCTTCTAAAACAGTACTTCAGTGACGGGGCGACAATGCCATCATCTGTCAGTCGACTGCAGCAAAGTTCAGGAAGCCAAGTAGCGAGCGTTCAGACGTCCCCATAGCCTCCGGGGACCTGCAAACGCTGTGCCAGAGGCAGCTACGGGGACGTCTGCTCTCCTCGCTTTCAGGGCTGGGGACTTCTCTCAGGTTATTTAACAGCTGCCACTTTTGATCACTGTCCAATTTTCAAAGCAGGAAGAAATTTTAAACTGAAAAATTTTTCACACAAGATTAGCACCTCCAACTTAGTTCTGGAAATCTTCTAACCCATGAACCCCCTCTCTGTCGTGAATTCCTTGAACAGATCAAAAGTGTTATCACTTTGAAAAAGCCCATGTACTTTCAACAAAATTTGCTTTTAGTTTTGGCAAGTAATAAGGCAAATAATGTAATGTAGTATTTAAAACTTCCAGTAAAATTTTCCTTGGGAAATACCTGTGGTCTGTTTCCCATCCTCAGGACTGGGAAACAACACGTTTCCAACATGCAATCACATGGAGCTAGAAAGACTTTCTATAATGTTAGGGCACGAAAAACAACCCTTTCTCTGCAAGAAAAAGGGGGTGGTGTGTCCCCTTCTGAGAAGCGTCCTATCCCCGGTGACCTGTACCCCAAGGTCGTGGCGGGAGTGACACAGGGAGAGAGGAGGTGGCAGGTTCGTAGAGACGTCTCTGTTGGGATGGATGACCCAACAGGAGGGGGGAGCTGTTCTCAGCTTTCCTTGTTTTATAAAAGTAAGCTTTCATCTGCCTGGATGTTTTTTCACCACCTTTAAGCTCTTCTATGACTAACAATGTATTGTAATCTTTAAATTGGTTTATTCCGGTTAGAGTCAGACAATTTCTTGTCAAAAAAAAAAGTCAAGAGCTGAGAAAACTGGACAGTTCTGTGTAAAAGACTGAAATCAGATCATTCTCTAACACCACACGCAAAAATAAACTCAAACTGGATTAAAGACCTAAACACAACACCAGAAACCATGAAACTAGCGGAAAACACAGGTAGAACTCTCTCTGACATAAATTATAGCAGTATGTTTTGGAATCTGTCTCCTAAAGCAAAGGAAATATAAGCAAAAAAACCGGGACCTAATTAAACTTAAAAGCTTTTGCACAGCAGAAGAAACCATTGACATAAATAGCCTGTACAACCCAACATCAGAGAAACCCAACAACACGATTAAAAAATGGGCAGAAGACCTGCATAGACATTTTTCCAAAAAGGACAGGCAGAATGGCCTACAGGCACATGAAAAGATGCTCAACATCACCAATCCTAGAGAAATTCAAATCAAAACCACGAGGTATGACCTCACACCTATCAGATGGCGGTTATCAAAAAGAACAGGAAGAGTAAGTGTTGGTGAGAATGTGGAGAAAAGGGAGCCCCGTGCACTGTTGGTGGGGATGTGAGCTGGTGCAGCCACTATGGGAAACAGGATGGAGGCTCCTCAGAAAGCTAGCACTGCCAAATGGCCCAGCAAGTCTACTCCTGGGTATGTATCTAAAAAATCTGAAAAGATACAGGCACCCCAATGTTCACAGCAACATTATTTACAATTGCTAAAATATGGAAGCAACTCAAGTGTCCATCAGCAGATGACTGGATAAAGAAGATGTGGTATAATTATACAACGGAATACTACTCAGCCATAAAAAGAATGAATATCGCAATTTGCAACAACATGGATGGACCTGGAGGGCATTATGCTAAGTCAAGTAAGCCAGACAGAGACATATAGTGTATGACATCACTTATGTGGAATCTAAAAAATACTCCAGTGACTATAATGAAACAGAAAGAGACTCACAGATACAGAGAACAAACCAAAGGTGACTGGTGGGGAGTGGGATGGGGAAGGGTCAACATGGGGCATAAGGGGTACAAAGTACTGTGTGAAAATAAATAAGCTTCAAGGATGTACTGGAGGCCACGGGGAACGCAGCCCATATTTCATAATAACCGTAAGTGGGGCATAACCTTTAAACACCGTGAATCACTACACTGTACTCGGTAGTTCATGTAATGTTGTAATGATTTTCAGATTTTGAGAATGGAGACATGTCCAGCCCCACACAGGCCGACTGCATAATCAGCGTTTCCAGAACCGAGCATGGATGTAGAAAATGACAAACACAAAACTGAAACAAAACTCGTGGAGTGGACAAGATTAATTAAGAACCCTGGGCCTGCAGATGAGGGTGCGAGGGCACCTTGGGAACGGGACCCGCTGGCACGCAGGCGGCAGGCTTCGTGGTGACAGGAGGGTGTCACTGCCGAGTGTGCGCTGCTCAGCCCGGGGCACAAGCAGGGACTGACCCGTGCGCGGGGCCTCCGCTCTCCGCACGACCGTGGCCCTCCCGGGTCGGTGCTGTTACCCAGAGGCTGTTCTCTTTGGAAATAAACTTGTTAATGGGGATCAGCAGGCTCTTCTCTTTAAAACATGAGGCCAGATTTTTAAGACTACGATTAGCGGTACTTTCTTGAGGGGTTATTTACTTACAGGAGCCAGTTTTATCAAGTACTTGAAGAAGTCTGTCGGCGTACACCCCGGGCATGCTTGGTTGGATTACTTTACAGAAATGTCTGCTGAACTCTGAGAGCAAAGAGCACACAGGGAAACTATATAAAGTACACTAACACTGTACAGGAACTGGACAAATTGACTTAATAGTAACTCATATCAGCCTAAAAAGCGAAGGATGACTGATGTCGAGTCGGAAATGACTGACTTACCACATGCAAGACTTTACCATTTGTGTCGTCTGCAGATTTTTGAAATATTTACATCCAATTCCCTTTCAAAGTAGATACGCTGTGTCTAAACTCTGCAAAAGTAACTGGAAATTCAACCTGCAAACCCGATGATTCATTTGGAGATAAGAAAGTACTGGGTGGCATAGCCCACGGATTTTATTAAAACCGGACTTGGTTACAAATCAGTTTATGGAATCAGTAAGCTGCCTGATTTCTCTGTGGTTCCTCCTGTGCCTAAGACGCTCTGAGATGCGTGGACACACGTCCGAAACGCGTCGGTCAGGCCGGAGGGCATGCCAGGAGAACGGGACGACCTCCTGCGCTACGTCTAGAGCATCAACACCATGGCGCAGCCCCTCCCCACCGCACGAAAATCTGCTCCCCAGGCCTCGAGTCCAAGGCATTCGCACTTGGAGGATGACACCGGCCAGGCCCCGACTGACCTCATCGGGACTGGAGGCCTGGTAGGTGCGGTTCTCGTCACTGAAGTCCTGGTCCACCTCGGCGAACTCGGCGTCCGTGGCCACGCCCGCTCGGGACTCATACACGGGGGTAACGTTGTGGCACAGGGCCACGGCCTTCACCGCCTCGTGCACCCGGCTGCTCACGCTCTTCCGAACCTTGGGAGCCGAAGACTGGGCTTTTCTCGGTGGAGTAGAGCTGGTGGTGTTTCCACCGAGTTGAGAATGCGTCTGTCAGACAGAAAGAGAGACCAAGCAGCAGAGCTGGCGTCGGAATTATTAACAAACATGACTCCTAACTAGTGAGGGCTAAGAGAAGCGGCTCCGGTGACACCTCCCAGTGGGCGGGCAGTGGGACAAGTCACTCTTTTGTCCTCATACCTACGAAGTGCTCTGATACGTCCCGGTTGTCAAGTACACCAAAATACTTGTTTCGGATTCAAAGTCTGACTGCCTCCTTTTACCAGATGCACCTCAGGCGTGGCATTGACCTGCTAAGCCCTTAATAATTTCAGTTTATTCACTGCTTCTAGAAGCACAGTTAAAGAACAGAATGGAATGGAATGCTCACAACTGCTTTCATTTTCCTTTAAAAAAAAGCTGTGCACAAAACGGTATAATGTGCATAAAACGTGCATAAAAGCAGGGGGAAAATGTTTCTGAAAGTCCCCTTAAAACCGTGACTTCACGCAGCCCGCAGCAGCAGTCACTGGTGGTTTTTCAGACGCAGGAACCGCTGCATCCTGGGGAAACAGCCCTCCGCTCAGCCTGGCCCGTCGGCCTGGCCTCCACCTGCGAAGGGGCTGACTCCATGCCGCCTCCTCCATGGGGGAGGGTTGGGGGCCCCCAACTCCGAGGCCTGGCGAACACCTCCCCCTGAACTCAGGGAAACGCACAACAGTCCCCAGAAAGCCTGTCGCGCTTCTGGGCGGCCATGCAGCCACCAAACTGCGCCTGCTCTGCCCGTCAGAATGCAGCGCCGGCTAACGAGGGGGTCGCTCTCTGCTCAGCTGGTCCCCGTGACCCCACACCGGCCTCAGCCCGCGCCGCCGCGCAGAGCCTCCGCGGTTACGTTCAGCGATGGCTGTGTGACTTCATCTCCCACTGAGTTCTTTCAGCCCACTGGAGATCATGCCCTGTGCCACCAAACGCTTCCAGTGGGGAAGCATCGGGGTTACAGACCCGTGAACGCCGGCGGAACTAGCAGACTGCTGCCACCTTGACGACAAGACAGACAGAAGGAATAAGCTCGGTTTCACAGGAGAAGTGCCGTCTAAGCAGCTAACCACCACATCGCTTTTAGTGAGGTTATTAAAACTCTCCTTAGATGGAATACTACTTCCTGTATTTGTAACAATGGCTCATCTCTTCTGCCTTTAGTTTTTTTCCTAGTAAAATAACTTGTCTGGAGCTATTGAAGTTGTATTTGTGGATAACTTAAGTTAATTTTTTAAAAACCGGACGTTACTTGGTACTGCTGAACGCAGACACAGATTACAAGAAGGGAGTCTTACTCCTGCTCCTCTGAATCTCGTCTTCCGTTAATACATATTCCAAGTTACAAAACACTCTGTGTTAAAACAAATGACGTCCAAACTAGTAAAGTGCTTGGTTTTGAGTGCCTGTGCGTGGCAGTGTGCTGGGGGTGTCCAGTCACAAGTGCAACAAACATACACACCAATCAGGCTTTTTCACTAGACGGCATCTCACAGGCGCAGTGAGTACACGCCTGGCCACGTGTTACAGACCAAAGGGGCGGTGAGCACGAGGCTGACCGGCCCCGGAGCTGTGTCAGGGAAGAACCGCGAGGGTGAGTGTGATCCCGGTCAGCCTGCGCAAAGTCGGGCTGCAAACCAGAGACCGCGGGCACCGGCCTCCGTGCGCAGGTCGTCCAGGGGCCTGAGCTGTCACCCCCGTGGGCACCCTGCACTTTCCACCTGGTACACCCTGACATCATCACGGGGGTGGCAGCTCCACAAGTCCCCAGGGAGGCAGAGAGACTCAACAGGACGGCAGCCCACACGCCGTCACTCGGACTCTTTTCCTTGGGTTGTGGGGTTTGCACAGAATTGGTGGTTCCAGGCCATGTGACAAGCAGGAGGAAATCCAGGTGAGTGGAACACGAGCTCCACTTGGGGACGGGGCCGCGGAAACCACAAGGCCTGGGATAAACGGGAAACCGCCCATGCTGCCAACCCACCGCTCATCTCAAGGGCACCTGTGCACACGGGGCCCTGGGACGAAGGACGTCAGGAGAGCCTGGAGGGCGGAGGACTCCAGACGCCCTCACCAAGAACTCCTGCTGCAATGTGTCCGCCAGGTGCTGGGCTGCTAGGCCACGCCCTCACGGGAAAGAAAGGAGTCCTGCTCTGTACCCTCGGGGGCGCCTGCAAGGCTCCGGTGGAAAAGACAAGATTCAGCTTTTGTCAAAAAAAAAACAAAAAACAACCTATTGGAGACATGGACAAAGCATTTACAGATGAAATAATGTGAAAGCATGTTCGAATCTGACTTCAGAACATCAGGAGGACAGGGCGGGGACAGATCACGGACAGGACCGGAGCCAGCTCACCTGCGAGTAGGAATCCACCACGTGGTTCTGGATCTCGTCCATCGTGTCTGGCCCGTACGACACAGTGCCCAGGTGCAGCCGCTTAAACACCATCTCGTTCTGGGTGAGGGTTCCTGTGACAGAAGCGACCAGGACGTGGTCAGCACGGGCAGCCTGGCTGCGGGTGAGGGTGCAGCCCGCAGGGCCTCTGTCCAGCTGGACGTCCTCCCGCCCCAGCCATGCGCTCCTGCAGGCGTTCTCTGCACTGCCTCCACATTCATTCCACTAGTGAGACCAGAACTTTCCTCCCAAAACGTCAGGCTCCCTTTCTGGTAACTCTTGAGAATGCGATGGGCAGTAGTCTGTGAAGAAAGTCTGCCTTTCAGTTCAGTCTGTTATTTGTACAAATGCAAGTCCTGCCCGGTCTGAGAGAGACGGGTGGGAACCACGTGTCCACACTCCAGACCGTGGACCCGCCCAGCCCAAATCCGCGCATCTGACCCTTCCAAATAAACCTATTTTGAAAAATTAAGTATTTCTCATTGAACAAAACAATGCGTTTAACACCTGGCATCCGCTTGCATGCAGGCAGAAGAGGTGAGAAAGGAAACGCACCTTCTCTTGAGCTGGTTTCCAACCAGTGAGGCCCTACTCCTCTGTCCTCAGGCCCCGGCCCCCTGGCCAGACCCCAGGGGAGCGGGAGCTGGGACGCCCTCCCTCCTGGGGTGAATCAAGGCACCCTGAGGAGTACAGCAGGTCAATTTTATGAGGTTTCCTGGTTTCAGCATCACGTGTATCAAAAAGACACACAACCAATGCGGTGAAGTGCCATCATGAACAGAAAGAAGGACAGGCAGACATGACGTCACACATTTAAAAACTCGGTGAATTTTCATTAAAAGTGGCACATAACTCGTAGTCATTCACCTCCTGGCTCTGAAGGAGACCTGAACGCTCCATGTGCATCCCCTCACCTGGAAATACTCTCACACAACACAGGTTCTTGCTTCCCAGGTTTCACAGCAGGAGGGCGATGGGGCAAGTGCCCCACGGACCTGTGGGTCTGGGGCCTCCCCGGGATCTCTGCGCTTGTTTCAAAGCACAGAGAAGGACTGTCCACTGACACTGACGAAGTTGTAAGTGTGAACACGGACAGACGAGCGATCACAGCACAAGCTGGACTTTTCACGTCGCTACAAAACATTTGAAAATACTAATTCTTGTTTTCTTTGGCTCATGTGATGCAGAAAGTACAATACGGACTGTTTACACACCCCTCTCCGACTCCACACACGCCCATGAGGACTCACGTTCGCAGCAAAACAGCTCATCTGACAGAACCCCCACCAGGCACAGAGGTCGTTTCAAAGTCAAAGGAGAGTCTACAATTTACAATGATTATTTTAGAGGCTGTTTGATAAGCCCTGTCAAAAGAATGTACAAAATGTATCAGAGTTCCTTAAATCTCAAAGAGCAGCTCCTGTCAGGGATGCACGTTAGCTTCACAAATTTTGCCTTTTACAAAATTCCATGCAGCCCCTCTACCGCCCTGAACAAATGGCTCCTTTGATTAATGCTTCTTTGATTAACATAATCAAAGTTACATGAGAAATGCACTTAAAGGGTTTTCTGGTTACGCCAGTTTCATTAAATAAAGAATAATTAACTTTAACTTGAGGTTATATCACATAACGTCATCAGCAACAAATCCTCTATCTTATAACAGACTTTTAGGGGATTCCCTAGGAGTTTCTACACAGAGACCATGTCACACAGATAGCTCCACTTTCCTTCACAATACGGATGTCTTTTTCTTTTTCTTGCCCAATTGCTTTGGCTAGCACCTTGAATAATTCATTGTAGACAAAGAGCAGAAACAGCTCTAATGTCCACCAACGGATGCATGGATAAATAAAATATGGTACATCCGTGCAGTGGAATGTTATTCTGCAATAAGAAGAGCCCAGGCACTGACACAGGCTACCATGTGGATGAACCTCGAAATGCTGTGCTGAGTGAAGGAAGCCGGTCAGAAGAGGCCACACAACGTACGGCTGCGTTTCTGTGATGCGTCCAGAACAGGCAAATCCCTGGCGGTCAACTCAGGCTGGGCAGGGGGAGGGAGAGCCTGAGTCGGCTCTCCGGCTGGGGTGGAGGCAGCACCATGGCTGTGCCGAGTGCTTGAGTGGCAGCCTGACGGTCTGCCAACTGACCCAGGCGCTGTAGTGATACCCGCTGTATCGCTGAAATGTCTAAGTTTCTGAAAAACCATGTTTCACATGGCTTAAAATGACGTATCTAAAGAAATGACTAGCATTCCCCATTCAATAAACAAGAAAAGATTTGTTATTTTGCCCTTTAAACAAGTATGCTCACATTCTGTTGGGTCACAGAAACTGGAACATTTACGCCGACATTCCTTTATGTGTCTCATAAGACTACTTAACATATTAAGATGAATCATAAAAATATTTTCTAAAATTTCAGTGATGTTTTTACTGTGCAGCTGACTCTGCTAGGTGCTGAGGGGGACACTCAGTGCTAGTCCCCGACCTTCCGGGCCCTCTTGGGCAGCAGAGAAGTGTAAGGTTAAACCAGGTATTAAAAGAGTCAGTAATGCAAAATTTTTTCAAGTCTTATCTTAAATGATTCTTGTGATTTGTCATTTGATGGTTTCTACAACATGTGTCTTCTTAAATCAGCAGAAGTTGGTACATCCCAAATTGGAAACACTGTGAAGGTCAGGCAGGGCCAGCTGCGGCAGGGGGGCTGGTGGACTGCCACGTCACAGAGCCTCACACCCCACTGGGCACCACGGCAGCTCCATGCACAGGTGCCTTTCAACAAAAGGCTTGTTTTGGATTTCTGGAAAAAAGAAAAAGCTGTAGTTCTTTAATGAAGCAGGGTTTCGTGAACTACAATGAGCCAAGTAGGCAAAGAGGAAATTAGTTTCCAGGGAAAAACTCCCACAGGGACCGTTCTCAGGGTGGTGACAGAGGTGACTCCCAGACACATGGAGGAGACGTCCGAGCAGCAGATGCAAGCTTTCTGATCAGATCTCCCAAGACTGTGATTTGGCCTCAGACCCCAACGTGACCTCGTCACAGGAGAGGACCTTCAGCACAGGGCAGGCAGCTTGCCTGGACGGCACAGACCTCCTGTGAAGACTCTAGTCAAGCAAAGTGGTGACCACGCAGATCAGTGGCCGTGGGGAGGGCACAGCTCAGCGGTGGAGCGCGTGCCTAGCATGCGTGAGGTCCTGGGCTCCATCCCCAGGGCTACCCTTAAAAAATAATAAATAAATAAATAAACCTGATCACCACCCTCCACCAACCAACCAACCAACAAAACCCCACAGCTACTTAGACCTTAAGACGAAGGAATGGAAACAAAACTTCTAAGTGACTAAGACTGATTTACCAAACTGAAAAGGACACATCCAAATAAAACATATCTGACATCGTTTAATGAGAAGTCACATGTCTTCTCTGCTGTGTGTGAGGCTTTCTCGGAAGGCCGTCTGTGTGGATGTCCCAGCTGGACCACGACGTCCACCTCGCGTCCGACCACACGGCTCAGCGGCAACTGCCCCAGCAGCACGGCTTGTGCTCTTGTAACTGGAGACGTTGTGGGGAGAGGCTGCAGGACACTCCGAACCCCCGAGAGGCGGCAGCTCTGGGGCCCTGGAAACCATGGAAGCGACGCTTCCCCCGCGATGATGCCAGCCCACGAGGCTTCCGTGTGATTCGAGTCTAAACAACATGGCATGTTGGGTAATGGATGCTACAATTTACACGAGTCCTAAAACCTGTTGTTTCAGTGTTTCAGTGGGTGTTTCAGTAATGGCTTCATTCCACGTGAAGATAAAAACTCTGAACAAAGGAATTAATATATTGCTTTAATAGGCTGCACCCGAGTTAAGTTTTAAAATTTATGAGTTCTTTGAGGCATTGTTCTTTAAACAATGGCTTTGTCAGCGCAACCAGCAGGAAGATGAAAGTTCTCCGGCAGATGAAGCACAAATGATCTGTCCTCCAGTTTCAGCATCGTTTGCTCGTTCATCACAGAACGTCTCGAATTTCTGGTCAGCGTCAATATGCCCCGCGCCCTGGCAGCTAACAGACGCCGGCTCTTGTTGAGTGAATTACTTTATGTTTCACGCACTGGTGGCTGCAGATGTGTCACTATAGCAACATCATTAATTTCAGATCTTACCGGAAGCGTGTGCGCTCCAATCACACCTAATTATACCACATCGCTTCCTCATCCACACAAGGAAACTGTAAGGCAGTCACTGGGCTGCTTCGTTCTCTGTCCCGCTGTGGCCAACGCCAGCGTGCCGCCACGGACACAACTCGTCACAAAGCTCGTTGTGAACTGAGGGGTTTTCCGTCGGACGGGGGCCGCCTCACTCTGTGCAGCAACGGCCGGAGCCCCACAACAGCTCCCTCTTAGCCAGCCCGGCTGACGCCCGGCCACTGAGATGTCCGCGCATCGCCCCCTCCCCCCCTGCCCAGGCACCCACTGGCCATGGGATCACTGAGAAAGGGCCTGAAAAACTCCAGGTCAGAACATTTTAAAAATATTGTAAATGACTCCACTCAGCTTCAACACCAGAAAGTGATGGTGAGAATTTCCCCAGTGACCCCAGTACAAAACCAGCCGTTCAGAAATCAAGATGCAAATACTTTCTCTAGTATATTTTACACAAGTTTTCTGTGATTCTTTTTAAATCTCAGGAGCCAAGATACTTTATTAAGCTAAAAACCATAAGAAGCACTGTTTTTGCCTTCTAAAAGCAGCAGAGTAAACGTGGGGAAAAGGAGGTTTTGCCTCTATGACTCCGGGCAAAACCCACTTCTCCTCGCCCCAGTGTCGTGAAAATTCAACAAAGAAAAATGGGAGAGCCCAGAGCAGAGTACTAATCTCAGCTTTGTTCAAAATGCAAAATAAAAAGTCAGTCTTCTGAGGACGGATGAAGGTCACAAAACCTTTACTTTCTGATTTCAAACAGCCAGAGACGCAGAGACTCTGGTTTACACTGCTCTCGGGCGTGTGCTTTCTGCTCGTAAATGAAGACGACGTAAGAGTCGGTCTCCTTCTAGAAGCGTTACATGCACATGTCAAACGGGCACAAAAGCACTCATGGTCCAGACAAGACCTGCTCCTCCCAGACAAGCACGACCATCCTGCGACCACAGGAGGCCTCTGAAAGGTGGTGCAGGAAGGCGGCTGGTGTGGGCGCCCAGGCCAGGGGCAGCACAGCGCCCCCTGTCCCGCAGAGGAAGGCCCCCCCAACACCTGTGGAGCGTGGGGCTTTCCTCGGCATCCACCCCAGGGGAGGCAAAGCTCTGCACTTGGTGGTCGCTGCTGTTCAGCGCTCTTGTAAGGACAGCGCAGTCTATCCACTGCCCTGGGGGGTCTTTTTCTGTGATACACCCAGTTCGTCTTTGTAGCCAGAACAAGTCTCATGTGTCTCCTGGTGCAGATGTTTCCTTAGAGGGCAGACGCTGGCGTGAGGAGGCGGCACTGACTGATAAAGCCAAAATCTGCTTTACAAGGGGGGCCAGGTAACATGCCCCACCAGCTCTGAACAAAAGTTCCTGATGCACCCTGTGCTTGCAAACATGTCAGGTCTTTGTAATGTGGGGAGGAATGATCTTTTATCACATTAAGATGCCCTACTCATGAAAACAGCGAACCTCTGCATTCAGTGAGCTCCCAGTAAGGTCTTTCAAACTTTAACAGCATACAGCCAGACAGGTCTGACATATTCTGTGTTAAAATTTATGTTTGATTACTTGGAACTTTTTTTTGCTGTTGTAATTGGCATCTGCAGAATTAAGTGTCCCGACTGGTGTACAGAAATGTGGTTTAATTCTGGTACTGAGTTTATACATCATAAAACTCTTACAATTCTAAAAGTTTTCCTGGTACTCCGCTGGGGTTTCTGGGGGGACAACCACTGAATTTGGTTTCTTGGGGACAGTTCTCCTGTCCCTCTAGACTTCACGTGTGGCGCCTGGTCTCGGTTACACGTGTCAGGGGAGACCAGGCCGGGTCTCCTCAGCTGGCGACCCTGTTGGCTTTAAACTCAGGATTTCTTCAGGACTCTGTTCTGGAGACACTTCCCTGCATTTCTCTAGAATCTCCGTAGGAGCCATTCCGAGTCTGGGTTGGCTGTCCTCTGGCTTCTCCAGCTGTTTTCCAGAAATAACTTAATTTCTGGACCCTCAAACGGTACTGCTTTCCAGTATCGGTGGAGACTTAGTCTGTAAATTTCCCCATCGGCGCAGCGAGGTGGGAAGGGAGGCTGTGAAGGCGTTTTCTCCGTCTACCCCGACCCCGAGCCCTGAGGCTGTCATTTCTGACTCCCCCTGACGTCCGAGCGTTACTTACAGGGCAACTCCTCAGCGTCCCACGAAGACAAGTCCCAGCCAAAACCAAACACAGCTGGACGGGGCCCCGACTGGACCGGAGCAGACGTGCAAGCTCCTGGGAGGGCGGTGTGCTTGGGGCCACGGCACGGGCCCCCCGTTCCGGCCCTTTCCTCACAGACGCCCCGCTGCTCCCCGAGGCCGTGTCAGCGCACACACTGCACGGGGCCCTGGTGCCATGGACGGGTCTCCCTCCTCCAGTCTACTCCGCACATGAGGGAGCTGCTTCCACCGCTTTGCTGTTTTAATCTGTGACTGACCACTGCAGATTTCTTGATTTCAGCAGTCGATCTCCTTGGTTGGTCATTATCTCTGAAATATTTGCTCTCCTGGCTGCGTGTCTCATTTCTACTTCCCATCTCACTGTGGTGGCTGGAGTGACAAATACTAAACAAAAATGTGGCTGCAGGTGCGTCTTCTTCCAAAAGAGGACATATCTAATGGTTTATTAAAAATAATATTGAATTTACCATTTACACAAATATTCTTTTATTTCTAGTTTGCTAAGAGTTACTGGGAATTTAAACCAGGACTCAATCAGTCAAGAAGAGTTGTAACCTTAGATGTGGCTTTTCCTACAGTACTGGTTTCAATCAGTCTTTTACTTGGTATGTTAGAACTGACAAAAATTCTTTGATGAAAAAAAGGAACTAAAGACAGAGAACGCGGGGCACGGAATCTCAGGGTGGGTAGGTCATCTGTAGAAAGAATCTCTCGGAGAACGTTCCTGTTAAAATACCAAGTTCACGTGGCTTATTAATTGTTGTTTTCTTCTAACTGCTCACAACCATCATTCTGTGATGAACAAGCCATTTTTGCCCTTAGGAATCCACTAGAGAGGTGTAATAAAGGCAGTTAAACGGAAAAACCACCGTAAGGCTGTGGAAAACTCAAAATGCAGAAACACATGTTTTAAGTCTCCAAGAATGTAACATTTTGCTAATTCTGATGATCCCGGAATGCTGGAAGAGGAAGAGGAGTGGGAGGCCAGGGTCAAGGGCAGAGCCTGAGACATTCCAACTGTGACTTCAGCACTGTCTTGCACACACACACACGCACGTGCACACACACGTGCACACCCCCCAGACACACGCGGGCACGCGCTGGGGCCGCCCCTGCTGAGGAGCTGGCAGCGTACCTGTCTTGTCCGTCAGCAGGTACACCAGGCGCCCCAGCTCCTCCGGGATCGTGCTGGTCCGGACGACGGTGCCGGGGATGCTCTCGTCCCTCATGATCATCCAACCGTACGCGGCTTTGCCCATGTCCAGGTTCACGCGCAAGCTGCCAGACAGAACCCACTGCAGTCGTTAGGGAGCCCGATACTTCACGTTCACTGTTTCCATACAGATTTGTTTACTTATATACGGTGTCTTTAATTTTATGTGAAGTAGGTCATATCGAGTTTTAGACTAAAATAAAGCAATGTGTAGACATTTAAGTCAACAGACCTTTTTACAGCCCAGAGCATGTTCGCAGGGGACAGCAGGTGGGTTACCAGGCTGCCCTTCAGCCTTGTGGGTGACCTCAGTCGGACTGGGGAAGGTGGACTGTGGCCAGGGCCCCAGTCAGGCACAAAGTGCCACAGGGGGATGGGAGGGGAGAGGGATACATCAAAGGAGATCGGCTGTGTCTTGTTGGGAATAAATATTTGAAATGGGTCTTAATATCCATCCGCCGCTTTACAAGAACTGACAGGATGCTTTCCCATGGAGACCACTGCCCTGCCGCGGAGGACCAGACAGGCTCTGGGGGCAGGACTAGCCGGGAGGTCCTCCAAGCATGCAGCTTCCGAGCCAGGCGGGTGCCCTGGCTAGAGGGGCAGAAAGGCAGTGTGGACGTGACGGTGGGAGCAGGTGGGTCAGACCGCCTCAAAGAGCTTGGGTTTCAGGGTCAGAGCCATGGAGTCCTGAGCTGGCGCAGCCAGGGGCCCTCCATTACCCCATGTACCCTGTCTGCTGGGGCGATGGTATGCTCGGCCCCGTGGACGACCACAGGATGCCCGGCACGGAGTACCTGTTTGGAGAGCACTGTCCTTCCAGAGGCCCCCGCCCGCGGGCACCAGGCCCGCCGGTGCCAGGCGGACACACCACGTGTTACGTAACCTGAGGAAACGTGATCAATAACCACAATCGAGACACCGCTTCTCCACTTAAGTGAGATAGGATGTTCCTGAAGGGTTGGGTAGTGATGAATTGTTTCAAAAACCATTGCTGATGAGGTGTGAGTGAGGCACAAAAGATGAGAAGGAACTTAACTCCTCTGGAAGCTTCTCACTCGACAGACCTGTGAACATCTTTTTCTCTGAACCTTAAGGAAATCCAAAGTGGACATGACAACCAAGGCACCCAGGCTGCCTTCATACAAGACACACCAGGGCCTTCAAACCATGCTAGGAGAGGCCAGGGCCTGACACCGAGGCTGCCGGATGAGCATAGGTCCCTGTGAATCAAGTGGATGTAAAATGTCTGAAGTACATGTGTATAATTCTTTAAAGTCCGCTTTTCTCGCTGGGCTATTTTAAAGTGGTCGGGGTGGAGGAGGGAGGCTGCCCCCCATGCGGGCAGGTGACCCGGGAGGAGAGCCTGCAGGCCAGTCTCCATCAGAGATTAGGACGACAATTTGCTATTTACTGTTGAAACTTTCTGGAAGCTCAAACTTCAAACACTAGGTTGACAGAGTCATCACCAGCACCGTATTGAACTTGCTTTTTAGTCATGTTCCAATTTTAGGGGATTTTAAATCCTAGGCCTCTATTCGACTAGTACTTTACGGTGACGTGATCTGTGAACAACGAAATATAGCAAGCCTACGACCCTGAGCGTCACACTAACACACTGTCATGCAACCAACGCATACACAGTTTAGGCGCGTCACACTGCTCGCTAAACAGCTGTGACACTACCTGGACCCATCCCCAGTGAGCGGAGAAGCCGCCCGCGCCGTCGGGCGCTCACTGCACCAGAGGCGGCTGCGGCCTTGGCTGCTATGAAACAAGAAAAGTGAAATAAACTATCTGATCTGAACGAGCTAGCGTGCTCAGGAGCGTCACCAAGAAGAACCTGTGTGAGGCTGGTCCACACTACGGTAAGAAGACACAGCTTAATTTTAGAACGTAAGGCCATCTTAACAGCAGTGCTTTCTTGCCCAAATAATTCATCTTGCAGCTTCAAAAATGTCTGAGGGGGTAACTTGGATCCTGAATCAGTCCGAGGTGCACCTTCTTGAAACATGCAACGCGGGGCCAGCAGCGCCCCCGGCGGGCGGCCGCACTCGGTCTGTGCCGATCAACCTGCAGCGTTCAACAGGGCAGGCGAACCCGGCCCCAGCACACACCAGGCTCCCCGCGGCATGAAGCTGCCTGAAATCATCCACACGTGTTCCCCCACGAGTGACATTTAGCTTCAGACCCTGAGCCAAGCAAAAGAAAAGGCATTTAAATTTAAATGGCACGTTTTATCAAAAGTAATCAAAACCTTTTCCTGTAAATTGTCATTTAAAGGAAAAAGCACATTTCCTACTTTCTCTGCAACCCCCCCAATTTTTTCATGCTGTGAGTAAGTTTCCATAACACACCACGGGTGGCACAGGACAGTTCCAAATGTCTTCACGAGGTGGATTCACCGGCCGCTGCACGCTGTGAAGGCAGCATTCCAGCCTCTGCTACCGGTTTGAGCCTTTCTCCTGGGCTTCAGGTGGTATACTCTGTTGCTGCAGATGCCTCACTCTACATTTCACAGATGCCTCTAAGTGAACATACACACCATGGAGGTTAGCTTTCCCGCCTCCTCCTCCCCCAGTGCCAAACAAAGAAAAAACAAATTTATTCTCGCTCAAAGAGGAGGACCGTCCTCTGACGTCAGTGAATGGCGTGGTCCACCCATCAGCCCAGGCCAGAAACTGGGAATTATCCCAGGCCCCTTCTCTGAATAATCGGCTCCTGTCAGTTCAACTCCCTGAATGCTCTTCAGTCAGCCCCCACGGGAGGAAGCGTGGGTAAAAGAACTTCACGGGTTTGATCTGATGGATGACTTGCATGGATTCCTAGCTTCCAAATTTACTAGCTCCATGACCTTGGACTAAAACAGACGATCGTTCTGAGCCTTGGTAGCAGCACCTGTAAAACGCCGCGTGTTAGCATCACAGTGGGTGACTGAAGGTTACGTTGGTGGAGCAGATGATCGCTGCTTGTGAACAGTCAGAGAAGGTTTTACAGACAAGGCAGAGCCGAAGTGGAAAGCACAGCGTGGGCAGCATGTTAGGACCCCTCTGGGAAGGCAGGCTGGCCCCCAGGCTCGAAGAGCAAAAGGTGTGGCTGTTAAGTAACGGGAAAACAGCGGATAAAGACTCAGACGTGCCAAGAGCCCTTCAATTTGTATCCACCGCAACACGTACAGGATGAGCAAAGTACAGTCTGAGGTCCTCAGGAGCAGAAATCTATCAAGCACGGGAAGCACCGAAGTTGGTATAAGCAGAATTCCAAATCACATTATTACGCTTCTGAGTGGGTATGGGTGGACTGGGGATTTGAAATAATGTGGTGTTTCAGGAGAGCTGAATTGAGCGCCAGTGGTGAAGGCTTAGGGTTAGGGTAACACCTTGCAGGACCACAGCACACTCTCCAAACACAGACCGGATGTTACAACACAATGAACTCCCACACAGACTGACCCAGGTTTTGCCAGTTTTCACTTGCACTCTCTGCTGTGTGTCCCTCAGACAAACTCCCGCCAGCATCACGCCCACCAGTCTCCACCGGGATGCAGACAGCCCCATCACGCAGACACTCCTCCTGTTACCCCCTGACAGTCGTCCTGCCCCCACCCTTCCCCCGGCAACCAGAGATCTGTTCTCCATCATGCTCCTGTGGTGGCTTCCAGAACGCTACATTGCCCAAGTTACTGTGTGTGTCAACAGTTTATTCCTTTTTATGGATAAACAGTACTCATTGTATAGATATACCATAGTTTGTTTATCCAAGTGATATTTTTTAAAAGCTTGCACTTCCCAAGTGCTCCACAAGTATGATATAGCTGTACTTGGTTGCTAAAAGAAAGCTTGATACATTTTCAAGAATAAGGTTTATCACAGCTGGGGCCTCAAAATTTTACCCCTGGAAGTACTGCCCTGGAGGTTAACCAGTTAATAACATTTGTCTGACTTCCTTTATATAAAATCTGCAAAAAACTTCTGTGCTCTTGGGTAATGGGAGGTATCTTACTTGAACCAACGTTCCCACTGAAAACAGTGAGAAATACTGCATAATTTTTAAAAAAAAATTCTTAAAAGAAATAAGGCAGAGGTCCAGCAAGAGGTCCTCCTTCCCATGACTGGCAGGGCTTTGAAGGGTGATGCCCTCAAACTCTGGAGAACGAGGAACCACGCACCCACGTGTGGAAGGGGAGACTGAATAACTTGAACTTGGACTAAGACATTCCAGGGCAGGAGGTACCTCCAAGTACACAGTTCAGAAGCAAGTGTGTTTGTCTTGGAAAAACATACTTTCACCTTTTATCTCAAATGATCCCCATGACTAGTTTTTCAAATACAATTACAAACAAAACCCAAATAAACCAAAACACAGCGTGTGGTGAAACAGCACACCATGGTCAGGAGCCAGAAACAAAACACAAGAGAGAAAGACTGAGACAGGCACCCGACAGACACAGTGTCAACACCTGGATACACAAGGAAAGTCAGAGAAATATCTGCACGGACTAGGCAAACATAAAAATGAAACCACCAATGTGATAGAGAAATCAAATAAAATTTCTGGAACTAAAAAATACCAGAAACCAACATTAAGCATTTGACGAGTTTGGTGGCTAATCAGACACAGCAGAAGGTGAAATTAGTGACTTGGAAGGCAGGTCACTAGGAATGATACAGAATGAAGCACAGAGACAAGAAGGTGAAAAAAACCAACACAGGAACAGGAGAAACAAAGGGCACACGAGGATCCGACGAGCCTTGGCAGAGAGGCGACAGAACAGGACAAAGGCAGCATTGGAGGAGACACACTGGGAGCTTCCTAGGATGAACGAAAGAAACCTCCCTACAGGTTCACGAATAACGCTGTCCAGACGCAACAGCAGAGAGCAGAGCACAACAGCGCAGAGTAAGCCCAAGAGAAGCTGCAGGCTCCCGGGGGAGGGGGAGGGGGGAGGGGAGATGGTGGGGAGGGGAGGGGAGGAGGAGGAGGGAATGGCGATTACTGAACACGGAAGCCAAGAGACGGAAATGAGCGCGACAGCTGAGAACCCGCACGTGGCGAGACTACTTCT